TACCCCCTAGTGTGTGGAGGACAAAGGTCAGGGCAAGGAAGGGGGCTGAGGGTACTTGGCTTTCAAAAGCTGAGTACAAAAAATCCAAAGGGTTTGTCAACAAGCCCAAGAGGAAAAGGCAGGCTGAAACTCCCAGTCCTGCTGGAGGAGAGGGCTCTGGTATTTCTCCTATGCGCAGAGTTTCAGGTCCACCGCAGCAGCATCAGACTCAGCAGACTCCAAAGCGGCCGAGAAGGTGGGATGTCCCACCCCCGCCGCCAAGGAGCGCTGCAGAGGGCGATGCCAGCAAGGACTTGACCTTCAAGGACCAACTCTCGGGCTGGAAGATGGCGATTGTTCCGGAGAACTATCCTGACGATAGGTTCACTGATGAACAATTTTGCTTGTTACAGGAGAAACTGTTTGAGATGGTTATTATGGCCGCCACTCCTCAGCAGATCCTGAAAACCTACAAGGACAAAGGTGCCCTCGCAGTCTTGTGCGGAAACGAGGAGACCAGAGATTGGCTCAAGGAGGTGGCTGTTGGTCTGGGTCCGGTGGGCGTGGGGGGGGCCGAGTGTGATTGTGGGGGATCATAAAGATCTCCTGCGTACCACCAAGGTCCTTCTCCATACCGACTGGATCCTGGCCAGGAAAGATCCTAAAGAAATCTTTGAGTTTGTCCAGAAGCTGAATCCTGGACTGTCAACCAGAGACTGGAGAGTGGTCAGTTGCAAGCGAGAGGCGGAACACCAAACTCTGGTTCTGGCAATTGACTGCGGGAGTGCCAAGTTCCTGAGGGACAGGGGCTGGAGGATTTTCTTGGTTATAACAAGGGTTCAACTCAAGGTTCTTTCAGGTGCTCCTGATGACGATCCGAATACTGCAGGCGAACCTACAGCACAGTAAAGCTGCCACTGCGGTACTCTGTGCGAGTACTGCGGGTGGGGCTTTTGATTTTGCCCTTATCCAGGAACCCTGGGTTAGAGACGGCAATATAACGGGAATGGGGGTCTCTAGGGGCCAGGTATTCTCGGCTCAGGTCCGGAATCCTAGAACCTGCATTTGGACTAGTAATGACACCATTTGTGTGCCGGTTCTGGAATTTTGTTCCAGAGACATCACGACGGTAGAGACCAAATGCAGGGAATCCGGACGGCGTCTTCTACTTGCTTCAGTATATATGCCGCAAGATGAGCCCACGCAGCCTCCGCAAGAGGAAGTTAGGAAGCTGGTCGAGCACTCGGCCAGGACCGGCGACGACCTCGTGCTGGGCTGTGACTCCAACTCCCACAACACTGCTTGGGGATGTAGGGATAATAACGCAAGAGGTAAGGCACTTCTTGAATACTTAGCCTCTAATGGTCTAATGATTGCTAATGTCGGTTCAGAACCAACTTTTCATAGCAGGGTTGGGGAATCTGTAATAGATCTTACTATAACCAACGTGGGGATCAGTCACAGAATTCTGGATTGGAGGGTATCCCAGGAACCTTCCCTCTCTGACCACAGACATATCATGTTCAACATTGGTAACTTTTCCTTGGAAAAGATTGAGTTCAGGAATCCCAGAAAGGCAGATTGGGATATGTACAGATCAACTCTTAAAGAGCGCATTGAATGCTTTGACACACAGTTCCCTTGGGTCAGAGACACCAACACGCTAGACCTTGCCTCTGGGAGCTTAGGCGAGGCCATTGTCACGTCCTTTGACGAGAGCTGCTCGCTAACGGTGAGGAAGCAGGGTAAAGTGAGTTGGTGGACCACAGAGCTCACCAGCCTGAAAAAGAGAGTCAGGTCTCAGTTCAGGTGGGCGAAGAGGACAAATAATTGGGATGGCTACCATAGATTGCTAACCCAATATAACATGGCTGTAAGGAGGGCCAAAAGGCTCTCCTGGAAACATTTCTGTAGCAAGCTAGAAAGTGTTAGAGATACATCTAGGATATACACTGTCCTAACAAAGGACAACTCCTCCAAGCTAGGCCCCCTCAAGGAGCCTGGGGGAGATATGCTGTATGAACCTAAGGAAGTGCTAAAGCTCATGGCGGCCACCCACTTCCCTGGCTGCATCATCCCAAGCGAGCCATTGGTGCCGGAGGATGAGGAACAAGCTGTCGCAAGGGCAAACAACACTCGGTGGAGGGTTGCGTGCCACATTGTGACACACAGTCGTGTGAGATGGGCCATAGGGTCACTCATCCCATACAAATCACCTGGACCTGACGAGGTAAGACCTGTCTGTCTCCAGCAAGGTATCGATATATTACTTCCGGCAATGAGTAAGTTGTTCAGGGCCAGCTTGGCCCTGGGACACATTCCCCCGGCCTGGAGCATCTCAAGGGTGGTTTTCATCCCAAAACCTGGTAAGGCAAGTTACACGGATCCCAAGTCCTTCTGTCCCATCTCTCTGTCCTCATTCCTGTTGAAGACCTTAGAGAAACTGGTGCTGAGGTATGTGGGGGACACAGTCCTCAGAGTCAATCCCCTACATAGAAACCAGCACGCCTATACCCCAGGAAGATCCTGTGACTCTGCCCTACATCACCTGGTAAGCAGAATCGACAAGGCGTTTGAGTTCAAGGAGATTGCCCTTGGGGCGTTCCTTGACATCCAGGGCGCCTTTGACAACACTGAAACCCAGGCTGTAATCAATGCTGCCAGAGCTCGTGGATTCCATGAGGTGGTGTGCAGGTGGGTAGAGTCTCTACTTAAGAGGAGGAAGGTAAGACTCTCTCTTCACAATGAGGTTCTGGAGGCCAGGACCACACGAGGGTGTCCACAGGGGGGTGTACTCTCTCCTCTTCTCTGGAACCTTGTTGTGGACGACTTAATTAGATCTCTCAGTGATAGTGGTGTATTCGTTCAAGGATACGCGGACGACATTGTGATACTAGTTATGGGTAAATTCAACAACACGGTCTCCGACCTCATGAACACAGCCTTGAGGTTAGTTGGACAATGGTGCACTGAGGTAGGCCTTTCTATCAACCCCTCCAAAGTGGCGGTTATCCCCTTCACGAGGAGGCGCGATCTAAATGGCATAGGACCTCTGAGACTACAAGACACAGTGCTTGAAATGCAGAATCAGGTAAAGTACCTGGGGGTGGTATTGGACCGAAAGCTGCAATGGGGGCCACAACTCCAAAAGGTCATTGATCGAGGTAAGTGGTCACTCATGGCCTGCAGACGTATGGTAGGAGGAACCTGGGGGCTCAAGCCGGCGCTCATGCACTGGCTATTTGTCTCCGTGGTAAGGCCCGCCATGACATACGGCTCACTCGTGTGGTGGCCCAAGATGGACTCAGTGTCGGCGGTGAGAGATCTGGCTGCCGTCCAAAGACTCGCCTGTCTCATCATCACGGGCGCAATGAGCAGCTGTCCGGGAGCCTCACTGGACTGCCTTCTCAACCTCACTCCGATTGACCTGCATGTCAAGGTCACTGCGAGGAGGACTGCCTACAGACTCCAGTGTGAAAACCTTTGGTTGGATGTTGGAGGATCCCGAGGTCACTCTCGGATCACTCAGCAGGTAAGAGGGGAGGTAATGGACATGCCCTCGGATCACATGCCGACTCGATTCTTCTTCGCCAGACCATTCACTGTCCTCCTTCCGTCCAGGGATGAGTGGATGTCCGGTGGGAATCCTCTTCCACAAGGCGACCTTGAATGGTATACTGATGGTTCTAAGGTAAGAAGTGGGACTGGGGCTGGAATTCATGGAGTGCAGAACGGGGTGGACATTTGTCTTCCTATGGGCACTCACCCAACTGTGTTCCAGGCCGAAATGACTGCGATTATGGTATGTGCTAGGGAAAACCTGAGGCTAGGCTTCAGGGACATCAACATTTCCATTTTCACAGACAGCCAGGCTGCGCTCAAAGCGCTTGACTCCTATGAATTCAATTCTAAGGTGGTCTGGGACTGCCTTTCTGCGGTATGTGACCTGGGCAGGCGCAACAAGGTAACGCTCTGTTGGGTTCCTGGGCACTCAGGGATAGAAGGGAATGAGGTGGCTAACAGGCTAGCAAATGTCGCGTCAGCCTCAGACTTCGTGGGACCACAGCCTTTCTGTGGAATCTCTCGTGGGCATGCATGTCACTCAGTCATGGCATGGGCCCAGGAGAAACACAGGAAAAGATGGGTTAGGCTTCAGCACCATAGGGTAAGTAAGCTCACCCTCTTCTCCCCTTCCCAGACGGTCGCCTCCAATGCCCTACGCTTGGACAGGAGGCGACTCAGACAGATCACAGGAATGGTCACTGGACATGGCTTTCTGAAATTACACCTGCATCGCTTGAGGATCCACAATGGTGACACTGCGTGTAGGAAATGTGGGCAATCAGAGAAGACTGCTGATCACCTACTCTACGACTGCACAGCTCTGAATGAGGTAAGGGATAGTACTCTTGGTGCAATGACAAGGGGCAGACACTTTCCTCAGGAGGAGCTCATTGACAGGATGCTGGAGTTCATTAAGCAACTCAGGTTTGACGGACTCTGAAGTACCATATGGGGAGCGCAAAAAGCCCATCAGTGGCTGACGTGCAACAGGACAAGGTCCGCCCCTACAGAATCAATCAATCAATCAATCAATCAATCATACCAAGTGACTCACATTTGCGACAGACATCCCTGTAAACCAATGCAGAGAATTGAATTCAGGCCATTCAAATAGACCGTTACAAAGATATAAGCTTTTTAATAACATTGGACACTGACACAAATATGCGACGTCAGTCTATTTTAATGTGACCAGCCGTCACTTATATGCAACGTCAGTCTATGGGTAGAAACCAGCCATCGCATATGTGCGTCGCTGGTCCATATGAATGACAACAAATTTAGTACTATTGCGGTAGCGAACGTGTTAAAGAAATCCGCCTATTCCAAATTTCTGATAATTGGAACAGGGTTAGGTCTCAGTTAATTAGGAATAGCGGAACTTTACTGCATACCGAACGATTGGACATAGGATTAATTATGTATTAATTAGTGGTTAGTGAGATCCAAAAACTTACCTGGTCATCATCTACCAGCTCCTGTAGTCTGACTGTCTGCCAGTTGAGTGTTTGTGTGAGTGATGAGCTGCAGAGTGGTGTGAAGCTGCGAACTCTACATGTAGGGCTACCACACACGGTGGGTTGGGTGTAAAGTCCTTCCTGTTGTTTTACAGTTTGAACGCTACCACATGTATTACACTGGAATCCGAGCCATGTGCATAGCAGCTTCATGTTGCTCACACGGATTATAGTTCCTCGAACACACACCAGCTTGCCTATAACATTTTTTTTACAGGTTTTTAGCTGAAACTTAATCCTTTTGATCTTCAATGTCAGTGACGGCTGGTGGGTTAAATTAGTGGGATGGCGCATGCAGGTTTTTTTTTGGGTGGTTACTGATACCGGGGAGTTTAGTTAGAAGTTAAAAAACGAGTTATTTAAATGTTGGTTTAGGAAACTTTTTAGAATACAAACTGTTTTATTTATAACTGTCTGTATACAAATTCTATGGTGGGGAGTTAAGTCAACTGACACGTATAAACAAGAGAAATTGGCTCTCTCTTGTTTTGAAGGCTTTTTGCCGCTGCGCGTGCGTAAATCTGGAGTTGCGTCATTAGTAGTAGTGTGTTTACGTTGTTCTCAGAATGGCGCACATTTTACCCCGTGCTACCCGCCCGTCCATACAACCTTCTCCCCCAAGGCCATACCCCCAAAACGCAACTACCCCGCAGGTTATGAACAATCTTAATTGGTGACTCACGTTATTTAAGTTAAAAATAACACTAACATACTAAATACATACCTTAATTTAATTGTTTGAAACAGAAGTTCATCCGTCGGTCCTTCTGCTCCGAGAAATGTTGGATGACAAGCTCGTTGAAATTGTGAGTTTTCAAAAGATCCTTCTCAATTGAGCACATTGCTAGTGCATTCAGCCGGTCTTCTCTCATGGTGTTTCTTGTAAAGGTTTTTATGTGTTTAAGCGTTGAAAAACACCTCTCCCTTTCAGCATTCGACATGGGAATAGTGCAAATAATTTTTAGCAGCTTAACTGACTCAGTAAGGACGTCAGTTAAATTATTTTCATAAATAAAGTTCAATAACATCAACAATCCTTTGGCAGTTTTAAAGTCATCCCTGCTATAAATTACAGATAACTCTTGTGGTAGCTCCAATTTATTTAGTCCAAATATTTTTACAGCTGCTTCCATCAGCTCATTTTTGGGTAAATGTCTCTTTATATTTTGAAAATAATGTAGGCTCAAAAAGCACACCAACTGACAGATGGTCTAAGAAGTTAAAACGATCGTTAATTCTGGTAATTATGACATTGCATACTTCCTTAGCAACAATGTCTTTTCTATCAATAAAGCGAGCACGCTTTGTTTTGGGTTCGAGTTCAGAATGTTCGGCTTGTGATGACTCATGTAGTGATTCATTGCCTTGAATACATCCAGCTGCACTCGCAGTATGTGGATCAAGATTGGGAGAATTCCTTATCTCTGAAACAGCTCTATCTCTCATCGTCTACGTATTTGCATGCTTTTATACAATCAATACTTCGATGTTGAATTTTGTTGTAGAGAATGTCTACATGAGGCATAATTTTGTTGAAAAATCCAAGCCAATAATTGAAGTCGTCACTTTGTAAGATATGTTGTAGGCCAATAGCTTGATTTATAGTTTTGTAATCATTGCTGTTGTCATCAACAATTTTCCCTAGACATTCAACAATTTCATGGTGGTAATTTTGTACTGTAGCAACGATTCTTGATTTGTAATTCCATCTAGTAGGCCTAGCTGGATTTTTTGGCATGCGTTTTTTAACGATGTCTTTAAAAACTTTGGTCCGTTTTGTCGACTGAGAAAAAAAAGCTGAAAATCCTTCAATATTGCTGAAAAATATTTTAACCTGTTTTTTTTATGGAACACCTGTCTACAATTAAATTTAATTGATGTGCATAACAATGAACGTAGTGGGCGTGTTTATAAGCATTTTTCACCCTATCCTGTACCCCAGTATGTTGCGCACTCATCGTAGCCTACTCATAGCTCTGGGCTATTACTTTGTTGGGGGTTTTATCTTTTATCCAGCCCTAGCTTCTGCAATTCACAAAAAATAGCTTCACTAATTCCCTCAGCATTCAAACTCTTGGGGTTGACATAAAAGATAAATCTTTCTTTAATTTGACCATTCAATTCATACCTAACAATAAAAACCAATTGAGATAGTGTAGCTACGTCTGTGGTTTCATCTGCTTGAATTGCTACATAACTGCTTTGGTGAATTTCCTTGGAAATCAGTTGATGGCAAACTGAATAAATCGAGTCAAGCAAATAGTTTTTAATTGTTTTAGAAAGGCCAACAAATACTCGATTTTTTGCCTTTTTAATGTGCTGTTTTAGTGTAACATCTATGTCATTGGATTAATCAAACATTAAAAATTTCCAGGATTGTCTGATTTGTCCCTTAGAGCTAATTCAAATATACCACAAAATTTAACGGCAAACACGATCGGGAGACATTTAATTGCGAAGCATAATTCACTTTGGCTTGAAACTGTCAGATAATGTACAGTCTAACTGTTGTAACTTCTTTAAGACTGTACAATATTTCATTAATATCAATTTTTACTATCATATGTTTTTCTATTGTTTTTGTTTTGTAAACATTCATGAAATAGATTTTGTGTTGAGTGGATATGCGAGTTTCTATTAATTATTTTATAATTAATTAGAGTCATTTTAATTGGCGACGAGTGTGAAAATCAACTAGCCACTGTGAAATTCAACACATTTACTTTTCAAAATTACATTCAATTTCTAGTTTCAAGATACATTAATATTTTATACAGTTCAAACTATAATGGATGAACAACAGTTTACCTTACTTCTAAACACATTCAATGAACAACAAAAAGCACTTGTACGTGAGATGTCAAACATGTTTCAAGCTCAAATTCAAACAATTGTTACATCAATTGGAAAACCCAGGGAAGAAAGCTGTCAATCTACAATGTCAAATGTTGCTACATTCGAAAACTTCAATGCCAAACAAGAAAAGTTTAACTATTATACAATGAAAGTGTTCCGTATTCAAGCATCTAAGCAACCTAGGTGAATCCAGACTTCATTCATATTTTGTTCTGACCCTTGCCCTGTCACGTGATGTCTGGCAATTTCCCCCATTCCCCATGTACTCTTCAACCCGGCATCATGTTCTCGCCATTTTCCCTAGTTTTTTATTATAATATTCCCCTACTCTATTTGTGGCATATAAATTGAACTTATATTATCGTATGTTTATCTTATGTATTTATTTGTGACACACCTAACAAAAAAGTGAACTGTATTCAAACTGTTCTTGGTGCAACTACCGGTCGCGTACGCGAAAGCTGGCCAGCAAACATCAAGTGCGTCAACGGTCTACTAGACATCACTTCAGTAAAAAGGAAGGTACCAAATCACATTTCTTCCTATTTAAAAGTTTATTATTTTGTGCTCACAGTGTGTCTCTAAAGCTGATCTTAACATAATATATCTCACATCCCTCATTTTTTATACAGTCCACCATATCGAAGTTTACCCCCCAGAAAGGTTTGATTGATAAGAAGAAAATTGCTCAGCTCTTGTGTAATTCTATAGGTAGTGAACATTATAACAACCTATCTGCATTTTTGGGCCCAGACAAGCCACTCAAATCATTAGATTATGAAACTCTGTTGAATGACTTCAAGAAACTATTGACTCCAAAGAAAAGTGTTGTTGTTGCTCAACATTATTTCTTAAATATCTTTCAAAAAGAAAACCAGTCAATTTCAGAGTTTGTGGCCGACCTCAGATGTGATCTTCAAGAATGTGAATTTGCAGTTGAATGCTCCAACGATGAATGTGGAACATCTGTGTCAATTGCTGATGTTTTCTTGCGGGCACAGTTCATACAAGGATTGAAGGACAATTGGCTTAGGGAACACCTTTTACAATCCGTTTACACAAAGTTTGATGACATTCTAGAGAAAGCTATTGCTCTTGAAGCATCTAAGGTTGAAAGCAAAGAATTTCACCAACATGCATGTTCTAACAACTTTAATATGGATTCCGCTGGAGAGCACAAAATTTCAAGGTCTTCCAGACGATCCCACCAGTTCTCTAACAATCGCTCATACAACAAGTCATCTCTCAACTGGAAACAACGTTCAAATAACAAAAGACCTGACTTCAATGCCCTCGGAATAGAAGGTCTGTCTTAGATGTGGAAGTAACAAACACATTGCTGCAAATTGTAACAGACACAAGTATAAACTCCAATGTGGGGAGTGCTTAAAACAAGGGCATGTCTCTGCGGTCTGCATAACTACACTGATGTCAAGGACTAAGAAATCAACATCAAAGTTAAATTCAACCAACAACCTACATTCAGGATCAAATGATGACGATTATTCTAGTGACGACTCTTCTGATTACGGAGTGCACAAAATTGATTCGATCTACCAGAACTTTGATGTCGTAGATTTATTTGAAGTTGGATATGATTCAGACAAGTACATTGTTTCTGTCACTATAAATGGAAGATTACAATGTTTTGAAGTTGACAGTGGGGCTAAATTTTCTCTCCTTGCGAAGAATGACTTTGAACGTCTACATCTGAACGTACCTGTAGAACCATCAAGGCTAGCTTTCCGTTCATACTCTGGAGACATAATCAAACCAGAGGGAAAGGTATCAGTTTCTGTATCATACAAGGGTAAACAGTTCAAAGGTGACCTTCACATCGTCCCTTCAGGTCATGATGCACTTCTAGGGCGCCAATGGATCCGAGGACTGGGTATTGAACTGTGTGAAATTGACGCTGAAATGAAGCGACCAGCTACTACCCTTCAATTACAACCAGTAAATTCAGTTGAGGAACTGTTTGAAAAATTTGCGCCAATTTTCGAGCCAAAAATTGGATGCGTTCCAAACTTTACAGTATCATTACATCTTCGATCAGGAGCAAAGCCTATTTTCAATCGTGAATGGAACGTACCTCATGCTCTTATTGATCAGGTCAACAAGGAACTAGATTTACTTGAAAATGAAGGAACCATTTCGCCTGTTACGTCAAGTGATTGGGGGTCACCACTAGTCGTGATACCCAAGGCAGATGGAAGTGTTCATCTCTGTGTCGACTACAAATGTGGTGTGAATGAACAAATAGTCCAGGCAAACCATCCTATTCGAAAAATTGACGATGTACTCGATAGTTTGAGATGATCTCGTTACTTTTGTAAACTTGATCTGTACAAAGCTTATCTGCACCTCAAGATCGACGAAGAGTCCAGTAATATCCAGACAATGTCAACACACCGTGGAACATATCGTGTCAATCGTCTAAGTTTCGGAATAAAGACAGCACCTTCTGAATTCAACCGAATTCTTACACAAATTTTGAAGGGATTGCCTAAAACCGAGGCCTACTTTGATGACATAATTTGCCATGGTTCAACAATGGATGAGTTCAAAAGAAATCTACAAGCCTGTCTTCAACGACTCTCAGATTTTGACTTACACATAAACTTTTTAAAGAACAAATAGAATATCTAGGACGAGTGGTGGAGTTTTAACAAAATAAAGAAATCTCCTACCAAAATTCAAGCTGTAAAGAAATGTCACATCCATCAAAAGTTGAAGAATTACGACGATTCTTAGGAATGGTTTCTTACTACTCTCGTTTCTTTCCAGATGCTTCAACTGCCACTTTTCCTTTGCGACGTTTGTTACGCAAAAATAAGAAATGGGAATGGACACTAGAATGTGAAAAGGCATTTCAACAAATCAAAACTGAGCTCTGCAGTAACAGGATACTCGTACCTTTCGATCCAAAACTACCGTTAGTCCTCACCATAGACGCTTCACCTACTGGACTAGCTGCAGTTCTTAGCCACTTAATAGATGGTACTGAGAGACCAATTGCTTACGCCTCACGTTCACCCACTGATGCCGAATGTAACTATAGTCAACTAGACCGGGAAGCATTGGCCATAGTTTTTGGTGTCTCCCACTTCTATTATTACTTATTTGGGACTCAATTTCAACTTGTAACAGATAATCAGCCCATATCTAGGATCTTCAGGCATAACAAGGCTCTACCACAAATGACTTCAGCTCGTTTACTCAGATATGCATCATATCTGTCAGGTTTCAATTACAAGTTGGTGTTCAAAAAGGGCATGGAAAATAAAAACGTGGATTGTCTTTCAAGAGCTCCTCTTACACAAACTCACTTTACTAAAGACAAGAAAATTGGAAAAGAGGTACATCAAATCTGCAGCCAAGCCATTTTTCAAATTTCAAGCCATGAAATCACAGCTGAAAGTATCACGAATGAGACAGCCAAAGATCCAGTGCTCTCTAAGATTTTGAAAGACCTACTCACCAATTCACTTGATTCTGACTTTACTTTGGTCGAGAACATTATTTTCCAGGGAGAAAGAGTGTACATTCCATCACTACTTAGAAACAAGATTCTAAATGAACTTCACGAAAGTCATCTTGGAATCACAAAAATGAAACAGCTAGCACGGCGCTATGTTTACTAGCCAAATATTGACAAGGACATTGAGCATCTTGTGAAAGGATGTGAAAATTGTGCACTAACACGGTCAAATCCGCCCAAAGCTCCAAATCACCCGTGGGAAATCCCATAAGAGAACTGGGAAAGAATACACATTGACTACGCAGGACCGTTTCAAGGCTTCAACTTCCTCGTGTGTATTGATGCTAGATCAAAATGGGCAGAGATAAAAGTAATCAAAGACGCACCATCCAGCTCCAATACCATACATCTGCTTGAACAGATTTTTGCTACACACGGCTACCCGAATGTTATGGTATCTGACAACGCCTCAATTTTTCAAAGTGATACATTCCAAGCTTATTGCAAATTTCATGGCATTTTCCAGAAATTCATATCTCCAGGACATCCAGCAACAAACGGCTTAGCAGAACGCTCTGTTCAAACATTGAAGAACCGCCTGAAGTCCACAGCTTCTGAAAACATACCAATGGCAATAAAGGTCCAGAAAATCTTAATGCGGTACCGGGCAACTCCTCTAGCATGTGGCAAATCACCGGCTGAACTTTACCTCCACAGGAAGTTAAGAATACGAATGGATGCCATTTTTCCTAACGTACAAAAAGCTTCAACTAGAAATGCTCCTTCTGCACGTTCATTCCATGAGGGGGAGAGAGTTCAGGTTCGTCTCTTCATAAACAACAAGAAAGTTTGGGAGTTTGGAGAGGTAAATAAAAAGTGGGGAACTCGAAACTATCTAGTTTCCCTTGACAAGTCAGGCCGACTTGCAAAACGACACATTGTTCAATTGCGGTCTACTTTGATACCAAAACCAAAAATTGTTAGTGCGGGAACAATCCACATATTTGATGTTCCACGGGCTTCAAACACAGCACAAAAGAAAATCCTGTTACTCGTTCTAATCCTGAAAGACTGCCAATTCCTGAAAGACCATCAACTCCCTTAAGACCATCAACTCCTGAAAAACCATCAACTCCCGTAAGACTATCAACTTCCGAAGGACTGTCAATTTCGGAAAGACCACCAACTCCCAAAGCAAACAATGCAGAGGTTCCAGTAGTTCAGGGAACAGAAACAAACAATGCCAAAGTTTCTGTTAGTCAAGATAGATCAAGGCGACAAAGACAAATGCCGTGCCGATACAAGGACTTTATTCTTTCATAATTCCATTGCCAGTTCAAAATAGTGGGGGAGATTGTTGTAGCTTCTTTAAGACTGTACAATATTTCATTAATGTCAATTTTTACTATCATATGTTTTTCTATTGTTTTTGTTTTGTAAGCATTCATGAAATAGATTTTGTGTTGAGTGGATATGCCTGTTTCTATTAATTATTTCATAATTAATTAGAGTCATTTTACTAACCTTGATAGCGAATCTTGATATAACAAATTCCTTGATATAACATTTTTTTTAAATCCCCTAGAACTCTCTATAAGACAAAATTTATATTTTACCTCTACATAACAAACCATATCAACGACCTTATTTAAAAAAATGTTCATGATCCCGGCTAAAATAAGACACCTCAATATAACGAATTTATCATTGTCAGAACCTCTACATAGCGAATTTAACCTCTACTTAACGAATAGTCTGCGTCCCTCCCTCGATACAACGAACCCCAAATATTGTTTCGTCAGCAAATAAAATGGAAAGGTGATGTCAACGCTTGCGCTAACATTCATCTGCTCCGTTTTATACATCCCTGTCTGCTGTCGTCGCTGCGCGCTATGTTACAACTGAGAACTGATTTCATTCACTGAGGACTGATGAAGACGTAATGTTTTGTGAGCTGTGATTGTTTGATAAGTAACTATGGTGTATTGTACAATTTTTGGATGAAGAGAAACCTAAGAAATAAAAAGAATAGAAGAACAAAGCAAAGAGAAAGAATAGCATCATCGTTATCTTCACATTCCTTTTACAAGTGTTTTTATTATCTTTAAGTTGGTTATGATTATACACTTTTATAACGACTCTAATCTAATATTTTTATTATTTTCAATACGATTTGTATAAACTAAGGCAACACCAATGCTATAGTTGATGATTATTACAGTACTGACATTCCTCTGTTGTGATTTAAAACAGTACTGTAGCCTACCGGCCTATCACGAGCAGTAGCTTACAAAACTCTCTACTGTTTTGTTTTGTTCTTTACGTGGTTTATTGCTATACAATACAGTGTTTGGCTAGATTTTAGATGGGTTAGAGTAAGCTGTGATTTTCAACTTACAGTTTATAACCTGTACCAAGGTCAATGACTATAAATGTCATGATTGCACAATATTAAAGATCCCTCCCCTTTAGTACTTAGGATAATCGAGGTTCTACTTTACAATGTAAACACTGTACTTTAAAGTATTGTAGCCTAGGCTACTTTAATTGTGTTTTAATGAGGTCAAATCCCGACCTATATTGACTGATGCTGGTTCTGAACCTCGACTTAGCGGAATTCCTGCAAACTTAACCTCAATATAGCGAAGCTCCTTTTAACGAAATTTTTGGTATAACGAATATTCAGTTCGGTCCCTTCAGATTCGTTATACTGAGGTTGGACTGTATTTGCGAAGGTTTATATGTATTCCTATACAGTAATAGTTTTGCCAGCATATCTTGAAAAATGCATGCTAAATATGCAAACCAACTCCTGTTAGCGAATTTCCCATATAGGGAATAAGCTATTACCATAGTACTCATGGTAAGACCTGGACGCGGGACCGATTTTTTTTTTCGTTTTGAGGTCCCTAGAGGCCAAAAACACCATCCGTTCAAATTCATATATATATATATATTTATATATATATATATATATATATATATATGTGTCCGTCAGCACGATAACTCGAGCAAAAATGATCCGATTTTGATGAAATTTGGTACAAACGTGTAAACGTACGTTTATTCGAACGAGTTCGCGATCCAGCATGATCGGACCATGGGAACGGGGGTTTACGGGGGGTTTTATGGGGTAAAAATAGGTTTTTCCCATTTTTGACCCAAAAAACATAAAATTTAGCAATTTCTTTCCAAACCATTTTGTAGAGCTTAAAAAAACAAATAATTTAGTAATTGAAGAGTTATTATGCGCCTAATGGTTACGGAGAAAATTCCAAAAAATTGTAAATTTAAAATTCCCATGTTATTCTTATGGAGAATAAGTAAACAGTTGTAGTTTGCTTGTTTGTGAACATATTTTGATCAAATTTTAAAAATGTTTTTATTTCTTACTAACTATTCACATAAAAAAAAAACAGTTTTACCCTCCCTGATGCAGCAAACCTAGTACTTGTTAAACTAATTTTATTTAGATCGGGAATAAATGTTATATTTTTAAGTAGACATTTCAGTGTAAATCCAATCAGTCAAATGGAAATTCGCTTAGTCTGCAGGTTTGCTGCGGCGGGGGTATTTTGAATTTAAGAAGGTTTCAACTTTCTACAAGATCCCCATACATAGAACGTGACACAGCTAGTACAAAATAATTATAAAAACAATCATAATGGAACATACCGTATAAGTTTGCTTTTAAATTTTTCAGTTGTGTCAAAGGTTCATAATTCAAAAGTCTGACTCTTAAGGCTGGGAGATCAATGGTGTGTCTATCTTCTTCATTCATCTCCTTTTCCAGCTCATTCAATGTAAACTATAAAAACATAAAGTGAGATTTATAAGACTTACATTTCCTATATAAATAACATAAATCTGAATGAGTACTTAGATTTGCTGCTACATGGAAGGTTTGTTTTTTTTATTTAAATGTTGACAGCTTAGTATGAAATATACAAATTTGCTAAATTCAATCAAAATTAGAGGTGTGCGGATATCCAAAAAATCGGGTTGGAGCCCAAAATTGATGTCCAACACTATCCGTTAAATATCCGACTTTTTCGGATAGACTATGTGTTTTGACATTTTAGACTTATATCATGATTATTGAGCGGAGCGAGCGAAGCTCTTATACATCGACTTTTATGCATTTCGTAATACGCAAACTCCTCCTAGACGGCTGAATCAATCGTTTTCAAATTTTGGATGGTGATAAAGACCATATCGGTGAGTGCCAACATCTATATGGCGTTAAAAATAACTCTCAGGAATCCGCCCCACTGGGTCTCAAAGATTCAATGTAATCCTTATGGAAGCAGTATTTGACACATAAACAAAAACATATGATCAGCTGTTGACTTTTGAATGCAGTAGATAAAGAAATAGCTGATAGCATTATTCCACAGATATTAGAACAGAAACGGTATGAATCATAAATATAATCAAATGACGACACTAGCTTGAGGTCCGTGACGTAGGAAATGCTAAAGGAAGTACTAAAGGTGAGCAGTCTGGAGTGTGAAAACTGTTTATGACGATTAGATTTAGGTATCTGCATTCCTAAAACTCTATGGGAAGGGAGGAAAACGGGTCCGCGACGTAGGAAGTGGTGAAGGAAGTAGTCAAGGCGAGTTCTGTCCGGAGTGTGGGAACTTTTTATGACTATTAGATTAAGAAATTTGCAATCATAAAATGCTATGGATAACATCTACATATGGATAATATCTATGGATGTAGACAGGTCCTCGACGTAGGAAGTGATGAAGGAAGTAGTAAATGCGAGCAGTCCGGAGTGTGGGAAGTGTTTATGATCATTAGATTAAGGTATTTGCAATCCTATGATGCTATGGGAAGGGAAGGAAACAGGTCCGTGGCGTTGGAAGTGGCGAAGGAAGTAGTAAAGGCTAGTGGTCCGGAGTATGGGAACTGTTTATGACGATTAGATTAGGGTATCTGCAATCCTATGATGCTATGGGAAGAGAGGGAAACGAGTCCGCAAAGGAGGAAGTGATGAAGGAAGTAGTCAAGGCGAGCTTTCCGGTGTGTGGGAACTGTATATGACGTTTAGATTAAAGTATCTGCAATCATAAAATGCTATGGGAAGGGAGGGAACAAGTCTGCGACGTAGGAAGTGGTGAAGGAAGTAGTAAAGACGAGCAGTCCGGAGTGTGGGATCTGTTTATGACGATTAGATTAAGGTATCTGCAATCATAAAATGCTATAGGAAGGGAGGAAAACGAGTCCGCAAAGGAGGAAGTGATGAAGGAAGTAGTCAAGGCGAGCTTTCCGGAGTGTGGGAACTGTTTATGACGATTAGATTAGGGTATCTGCAATCATAAAATGCTGTGGGAAGGGAGGAAAACAGGTCCGCGACGTAGGAAGTGATGAAGGAAGAAGTCAAGGCGAGCTGTCCGGAGTAAGGGAACTGTTTATGACGATTAGATTAAGGTATCTGCAATCACAAAATGCTATGGAAAGGGAGGGAAACAGGTCCGTGGCGTAGGAAGTGGTGAAGGAAGTAGTAAAAGTGAGCAGTCCGGAGTGTTGGAACTGTTTATGACGATTAGGTTAAGGTATCTGCAATCATAAAATGCTGTGGGAAGGGAGGGAAACAGGTCCGCGACGTAGGAAGTGATGAAGGAAGTAGTAAAGGCGAGCAGTCCGGAGTGTGGGAACTGTTTATGACGATTAGGTTAAGGTATCTGCAATCATAAAATGCTATAGGAAGGGAGGAAAACGAGTCCGCAAAGGAGGAAGTGATGAAGGAAGTAGTAAATGCGAGCAGTCCGGAGTGTGGGAAGTGTTTATGATCATTAGATTAAGGTATTTGCAATCCTATGATGCTATGGGAAGGGAGGGAAACAGGTCCGCGACATAGGAAGTGGTGAAGGAAGTAGTCAAGGCGAGCTGTCCGGAGTGTGGGAACTGTTTATGACAATTAGATTAAGGTATCTGCAATCATAAAATGCTGTGGGAAGGGAGGGAAACAGGTCCGCGACGTAGGAAGTGATGAAGGAAGTAGTAAAGGCGAGCAGTCCGGAGTGTGGGAACTGTTTATGACGATTAGGTTAAGGTATCTGCAATCATAAAATGCTGTGGGAAGGGAGGAAAACAGGTCCACGATGTAGGAAGTGGTGAAGGAAGTAGTCAAGGCAAGCTGTCCGGAGTGTGGGAACTGTTTATGACGATTAGATCAAGGTATCTGCAATCATAAAATGCTATGGGAAGGGAGGTAAACTGGTCCATGACGTAGGAAGTGGTGAATTAAGTAGTAAATTCGAGCAGTCTGGAGTGTGGGGACTGTTTATGACGATTAGATTAAAGGATCTGCAATCCTAAAATGCTATGAGAAGGGAGAGAAAAGGTCCGAGACGGATGAAGAGGTGAAGGCAGTAGTCAAGGTGAGCTCTCCGGAGTGTGGGATCTGTTTATGACGATTAGATTAAGGTATCTACAATCTTAAAATTTAATGGGAAGAGAGGGAAACAGGTCCGCGACGTAAGAAGAGGTGAAGGAAGTAGTAAGGTGAGCAGTGTGGAGTGTGCGAACTGGAAACCATTTGTAGCAGTTAGATTAATGTATCTGCAATGCTGAAATGCTAGGAGAAAGGATGGAAGCATCCCCACGACATAGAAAATGGTGAAAGAAGTAGTAAAGGCTAGCAGTGCGGAGTGTGGGGAATGTTTGTGGCGATTAGATTAACGTATCTAAAATACTAAATTGCTATGGAAAGTTATGAAAACAGGTCCATGATGTAGGAAATTCCTTAGAAAGTAGTAAAGTATGAGCATAGTATGAAAACCGTCTGTGGCAGTTAGATTGATGTATCTTTAATCCAAAAATGCTATGAGAAGGGAAGGAAACAAGAGTCTATGACGTAGGAAATGGTGAAGGAAGTAGTAAGGCTTGCAGTGTAGAGTGTGGGAACTGTCTTTGGCAATTACATTAATGTATTTGCAATCCTAAAATGCTATGGGAAGAGAGGGAAATAGGTCCACGACGTAGGAGGTGGTGAAGGATGTAGTAAAGGTGAGCGTGTTGAGTGTGGGAATGGATAAATGTATCTGCTATGCTAAAACGCTGTGGGAAGAGACTGTAGACTGTAGGTTAAAATAATTACGAAGCACGAATCGATACACATTTCGATACATGTAATCGTTTACAATCGAAATTTACAACTGAGTTGACAACAGCTGATTTTTTCTCCATAGAGGATAAAAACTATTTTTACTTCCTAAAGATGAAAATGCTACTTTAGACCCGCAACGCATGTATTAAAAACGACTGGTATTACTGCAGTATGACCAAAACGATATAATATAAACCCTTGATGGCTCCGCTCAATTTTGTGGATGCCTCTGCGAACGCCACCTAGTAAGGTATTCTCTGAGACATTGCCTAGCCATAATAATACAACAATTTATTTACCTATTTTGCCTGAAGGTCTTGTAGTTTGTAGGTTGAGCTAGTACTCGATGTGCATTTTGCTGCTCAGTGCAGCATCTTCATACACTACTGTACATATTTACACTATATCTTCCATTCACTATACGGTCACAATCGCGGTCGCAAGTGTTGTATTTGACGGCGACGCAAGCGGCGGGGTACATCTCGTTCCGCACGTTTGGTGTGATCCACTTGTACTGCGTCTGGGTGATTCATTCATTCACCGCATCGAGTACTAGCTCAAACTACAAGACCTTCAGGCAAAATAGGTAAATAAATTATTATTAGCGTTAAGCCTTTAAAGCAACCGTCGATTTCGACGGGTTTCATCTAGTTATTGTATTATACAGGTCCTGTCACTGGGTTCAAACAACCTTGCCATATAAATTGTTTGCATCAAGATATAATGGACATTGCCTTGCCATATAAAATTGTTTGCGTCAAGATGCTTGTTTAGGTACTACCTTTTTGTACACTACTGGAATGGCTTACTTTTTTAGTTTTAGGTTTGATTAAGCTATATGAATTAAAACTTCAGTTTTTATAACTGAACCAAGATTAATTACTTACAATACAATATCACAATTGTGCAGTATTCATATTGGACTAGTGGGCAAAGTATTAAAGGTGAGATATTTGAAAACAAAAAACAGTCATAATTTCCGATGAGTTTAAAAGAGACAACTTAAAGATTATGTAACTAATGGAAATACCAACGATGTCCATACCGGTTCGACATAATCAACATTTCTTATAAAATTTTCCTATTATTCAAAATTTTATCTTGTTTTTTAGTGTTTTCTATAAATGTTTCCATACAAGCCTACTCATAACCATATATATTGATAGCCTGCATGGTACCGTATCACAATTGTCGCCAATATGTAACAATTTTCAGTCATTTTTTTAAATAGCAAAACAATTTCTTCACACAACTTGAGAACCAACTGATTACCCATCATATGTTTTTTGTCTATATATTTCCTTCAATTGTCATTCTTTTGGTTGGTTGCTGTAATAACCTCGATTATATTTAGGCCTACCTGAGAAAATACATTGTTAAAAGGCCTGATGTTGTTCAGATGATTTTTTGTTTCCCTTAACTGTGAATAGTATTTGAATTATTCAATGACAGTTTTAGTAAAGGATCTAGTCATATTCTTCAAAAATCACTTGACTTTTATGGAAATATATCAAATTTAATGTCCTTGACATACCAGTTAAATTTAGCCTTAGAGGGGTTTTTCTCTGCAATATAACAAACCTAAGTTTATGTTTTCTACTAAAAATTGTAACAATTTGGCTAACAACCTCGTTCATCGTTTGTAGAATCTTCATCTTGTAGGTGGCCTTAATTATATAGGCTTATAA